GCTTACCTTCCCAGCCCCTCCACCTGGGTTCGCTGTGGCGACAAGTGTGTCCTCTAGAATCAGACTGAGGTTTAAATCCTAGCTCAGCCATTGACTAACTATGAAACTGATTTGGTCCGATGTGTTTCTGAGGATTAAAAAGTATTCACCTACCTGTGCTGTGAGGGTTAAATAAGATGCTATATATATATAAGGTAATTAGCAAGGTGCGTAGCACCTAAAAGCAGTAAATAACAATTGTTTGATTATTGTTGTTGTTTCTCCTGTTTTGATTCCTTTCCCTCTCTGATGACGGATGGCATCCCACTTTTGTTCCTAGAGGCAGGCGGTGTGGGAGGGGCATCAGGCCAGGTCCCAGGCTGACTCTGACCCTGCAGGTCTGAGCATCCGTGCTGCCGGGAACGAAGGGGCCTCAGGATGAGGAAACAGCTTGTGGTTCAGGACTGGGAGAGGAAGTCAAAAGGTCAGGAGCCAGGAAGGTGCAGGGACAGAGGAGGTGAGGAGTGAGGCAGGGAGGAGGCGATGGACTCCAGCCTGCCTCAGTGGGCCCAGCTGAGATGCCGGAGCTCTCCCTGACTGGGTGTGGCTCCGGAGTGCAAGGGAGGGCCCGTGTGGGGCAAGGGTGGTTCAGACACCTGTCCCCAGCCCGACCCCAGACTCCTGTTCTTATTCTCTGCTCTGCTCAGACTTGGCGTCTCCTGATGCCGATGTATTTTCTGCCTCTGGCCTGTTCCAGGCCTGTTGTCACTCCGCACGAACCCTCCTCCCTGCGGGCCCGACCCAGCCTGTGCCTGTTTGGGGCTGTGCTAGTCCCGCTTGGTACCAGTAGCTGTGAGGTACGAGAGAGCTGTCATGTCTTCACAGTGTGTTTACCAAAAGCAAAGCGAAAGATGGATATCTGGAGTATCTTTGGGCTTTTTTGTTTTAATTGGCACATCTTTGCAAAGTGCTAATGTTATCCCAACGAGGCATGAACTGGGGATGCTCTGAAATATTTTGTTTGAAAAGGGTCCTATGGGAGATGTGAAAGGGCTCTAAGGACTCTCGAAAGTTCCTGTCTGTGCCTTAGAGACTTGTTAAAATAAGCTTTTCATTTAAGTCTGTAGTGTGGATTGCCCACCCTGAACTGACAGCCTCATTCTTCAGAATGTGAAATGCCCAGCGCCCCCGTGGCCCCCTCCGGAGCTCACCCAGCTGCATAAACCTCCCTTCACACACTCCCTGAGACACAGAGCTTGACATTAAATGCGGGGAATTTCTCCCGAGGCTTTTGCGGGTTTGAAGCTGCGACTGTGTGTTCCACGCTCTGTACTCAAGCAGTGCAAGTCCCTTCATACCAACTGGGTCTGAATATTGGTAAGAAAAGAATGGTAGCTAAAATGTATGGAGTACTTACCATGTGCCAGGCACTGTACTAGCACATTACATGAATTGGCATTTAGTGCCACATGTGGTAGACTCTCTAAACCCCACTGCACAGCTGAGAAAACTATGAAAGGGCAAGAGATTTATTTGCCAAAACACACAGAGTTAGCAAATGGTGCAGTCAAGATATGAACTCAGATATGATTCTGGAGCTTGTACTCTTCAATCGTGCTACTTTAAGGGCTGCTGGATTAGTAAATATGAAAAAGATGGATAATGTTCAGTGTGCCCAAAGTCGTGAGGATGTGAATACATGCATAAGAGCATAAATTGGCACGGACGTTGGGAGGGCAATTTGGCAGGCCCTACCACAGCATTAAAGTAGCTTCATCGTTTAATCATTCCTGGGAACCAATGACACAGAAACCCCTGGATGTGTGAACCAAGAAATATGTACACACGTCTTCACTGTAGCACCATTTGTGGAAACAACCAAATATCCACGAATAACATCAGTTCAATAAGTTAGAGAACGTCCAGGCTATGGAACTCTGTGCATCAAAAAGAACGGTGTCGCTTTGCTTGTTCAACAATTTACCGAGCATCCGTGAGCATTTGGATACAGCCATGAATAAGTCAGACTCTCTCTGATCCTGTTCTACCTAGGTTCTACCAGAGAATTTTCATGCTTCAACAAAAATATTTAGCTTTTAAAATAAATGTTCCCAAATGCTCCTGCTTTCTTATTTCATTGATGGATACAATCACAGAAGGAAGAGTAAGCTGTTGAGCATGCAGATGTTGTATAACCAATGGATGAAACGATTTACACCAAGCAGCTCTAGGGCCCACACATATGGACCCACCATCTTTGGAGCCATCATAGATCCAAAAAAAATACACATGGAATTTCATCATCATAAACAAACACCAACTGAAGGCCCAAACTATTTTTGTTGGGTTATATACTGCAAAAGCAAAATCAATATGTTGTTAATTGGGACTCAAAGCCAACATTTAATTGCAAAGCAAGGTGAATCTGCAGGGCCAACTAACTTGGTGGCTACCTTAACTCCATCCACACTGATTTTATTTTTTAGTGAAGTATAAAAAGGGCAGGAAGTCAAAAAGATTGTCATCAGACAGTATCTCATTTCTTGAATCTCATATCTTGGATTTCTTCTTTCTGAGTCTTGACCTGGCTTGCCATAATTTAAAGATCTCTAACACTTTAAAAATCAAATATGGAAAGCTTTGATATATATAGTAAATACCATGTATAGTATATAATATGCACTGATGGAAAGTTTCCTGTGATACAGTATTAAGGAAAAATTTTAAAGTCGTGGTAAGAACAAGATATTCAGTATGATGCAATTTTTGTGGGAAAAGCTGTAGATAATATGCACATAGTTACATGTGCATAAGGCCTAGAAAACCACATACCAAACTGTAATATTCTGGAGAAGGAGGTAGAGACAGAGGCATGGCAGATGTTGAAGTAAAATATGCCCAACATTTACATTGTGTGTTTCCATGATGCTAAAATTTTCTATAATAAGTATGTATTACTCTGGAATTAAAAGTCAAAGGAGAAAAAAATAGACCAGACGCTAGACGATGAGAACATTGCAGGCAAAACTCAGGAAGTAAGAAATTGTCATGGAGGTGGCGGGAGCCTTTGGTGGCTTTGGGCGGGGAACAGATATGGTCAGACTTACAGCAAGTGCAGGTGGCCTGGGGGAGGCAGGAGGATACTGGAGACTGGTGGAAAGGTGTGAACTGCGTGGAAGGGTGTGAACTGGGTGGAAGGGTGTGAACTGGGTGGAAGGGTGTGAACTGGGTGGAAAGGTGTGAACACAGGAGGCCTCCAGCCTGACAGGTGTGGGGGCTGCAGAGGGAGGGAGCGGGGAATGCCCTGTGTCTGGCTCAGGCAGCTGGTGGATGTACCGTTAGCCCAGATGGGACCGCTGGAGGGGTGCAGGGCTCTGGGGTCAGATGGAAGATGCATATATGGGCCTCTGTGATGACCACAAGAAAATCAGGTCTTGGGAGACACAGAGCCGGTGTCCAGGAGATAAAGAGGTCGTGTTCCATGTGTGATTTCATAGTAAACAGCTTCTCTCGTTCAACAGATATTTATTAGGAATGAGTGAGGGACACACTGTAAACAAATAAACAAATCTTCCATGAGAAATGTAACAGCTTCCCTGCACATGTGTCAATGTGGGGTGTCTATGCATCTGAAGATTCTTGCTTCCGACCAAAAGAGGGCACCCCAGGGAACCTGCGGTCAGGAAGAGGCCGTGACTTCCCGGGTAGGTTGCCTGTGTGGCTTGTCCTGGGGGCCCTTCACCCGCACACAGGGCCATCTGTAGGAGTCCGGGCCACGCTAGGTCTGGCTGAGCTCCTGTGTCTCTAAGGCCCGCCTCCCAACGACCCCTTCCCCCAGGTGGTAGATAAGCAGCTCTGGACCAAAAGATTCTTACAACCTTTGGGCCTAAGCCTGGGAGGCAGCTCTGGCCTCCTTCCTCCAGTGTCCTCAGGGCTGTGGGACTTTCTGGGCAAGGTACCCAACCAAGGAGAAGGTCGTCAATTCATCCTAAATATGTCCTAGGCACCTATTGACAGGCAGAGCTCTCAGGACTGGGGCATAGATGTGAGCCAGCCAATCAAATCTCTGCCCCCCTGGAACTCAGGGATCTGTTCAGCTGGCAACAAAGCTCTTCCTTCCCCAGCTGGTGACATTCTGGAGTTTTCTATGCACAATTGTGTCTGAGAACTGCTGGGCCAGGGCAAGGGGAGACCCAGGGCCAGCTGACTCCACTCTAGAAAAGTCTGCTGCCAAAGCTGAATTTAGAGCTATGGGGGCCTTAAGCCCTGTAAATTGCTACCCCTCACACCCCAGTGTATAATTGAGAATAAAACCCAACAAAACCACAGAGTTGAGCAAGATCAGCAAAGTTCTGATTTTCACCCTGCAATGACCATTTAATGTTTTCCTCCAAAATGTTATCAAAATTCTTCCTCAAAAAATTATTTTAGGTTTCCCAGGCACTAGTGGTGCTTTACACACCATCCAAAGCAACACGGAGCCGAATAACCTGTGGAGCACAGTGAGTGTGGGGCCTCGGCCTCCTTCTGGCCTCCCCGTCCAGTGCATGGGTCTTAGCAGCAGGAGAGGCCTCAGGGTGGCAGTCCTCAGGGTCGGGTGTTGGCTGCGTTGGTTCCTGCTGGCCTGGGGCAGGCCCCGTCAGTGCCAGAACACAGAGCACAAGACTTGGGCCTCCAGGCTGGACACGGCGTGGGAGTCCGGCCAACCAAGGCAGAGTCCAAGTCAGAGCTCTGGCTCCAGGAGGGACCTCCGGCTCTAGAGCTGAACTGGAGAGCAAAGGTGTGTCTCAGTGGGCCACCAGCATCCAGAACATGCTGGGCACGCTGGATACTCAGTCCTACCTCCTGGTATTGCTATGGCTCGAGGGCTCCCCAGCCCAGGGCAAGGCGGCTCCAGCCCTGGGCAGGTAGAGCTTCAACAGCAGGTGAAGAGAAGGGTGGATGGTGCCACCATGTCAAAGCCCTGTTATTCCCTTGGACCTAGCTCTGTTCGCTAAATATCTGTGGTCCTTTTTTTGCAGAGTGATGAGGTCCTCACCGTCATCAAAGCCAAAGCCCAGTGGCCAGCCTGGCAGCCTCTCAACGTGTAAGTAGCACACACACCTGGCCTGTCCTGCCCCGTCCTAGCCTCGTACTGGAAGCCACCTACCCAATGGCCACCACATACCAGTTATGTCATTAAAGCCAGTCATACCTCTCAGGCGAACAAGCAGGTGAGGTGCTGCCCATGGGTGGTCCATCACACATGCAATCCTCAAGAGTTCAGGCTTGGTCTCTGTTTCACCCCAATGACCTCAATAACACAAAGGACACAACTCAGACATGAAGATTAACCGTTCTGTGTTCACTCTTGCTCTCAGCCACAAAGGACTGAACATCCCTTGGCCCTCAGAGCACATAGGTGTACACGCTCTAAGCAGGTCTGGCTCGTGGAAGGCCAGATAGACCCCGTTCTCAGTGCCATCTCTTTTCTCTCTGTCCCTTGGAGCTTTCGTCTGCGCTTGAGTCTCTGGTGACCCAGGAATGCTGGCAGTTCCCATAACTACCAGTTCCCCAGAGGGACGAATGGATAGACAGATAAAAAAACATATCTATCAGATTATTGGACACTTCTCCATGGATGGCCCATGTAGACCCAAGTCGTCATGTCCCAAAATGGATCCCATCACCTTCGCAGGAACGTGCTGCCCTCCACGTGAGAGACACCAGAAGTGCAAGGAGTCACCAATTCCTGAGGATTCCACCTCCCTATTAGCTCACAGATCAGTCCTTACCTGGCCACTGTCCCCCACAAGTTCAAGCCAACCACCCCTCCTCACCCAGATGACTTCACCTCTTTCCTTTGCTGTAGCCGCCCCCCCCCAGTCTGATTCCTCAGCCATACTGCTACCAGAGTGATCTTCTCTGAATCCAATTCTGTTGTGTTCTCCTCTTCTTATCCCCGCCATGGCTCCCTTAGCCCCTGGATCAAGTCCACACCCCTTTGTCTAGCTTGTCAGGCCACAGTGGGCAAAGCACACGTCAGGGCTCTACTCCTTATCCCCCACCCTGCGCCCCAGTCTGACAACCAGGATCTCTGTGCAGTTCCTGAGCAAGCCCTGATTTCCACTCGTCCTTTATGGATGCAAGGCCTAGAGCAGGCAGAGTTCCCCATGGCCCACAAGCAAACAGTCCACAAAATGTCTTGGCTAGCCTCTGTGTGGAGTAGTCCACATCCATTAGCAATGGTGTCGATGGAGATAGCAACAACACAGGACGTGCAAGGGACTGCTCGGTGGGAGGACAGGAAAGGACAGGAAAACTGGAGTGATAGGCAGGGAAGTGCAGACATCTGAGGGCAGACTCCCCAGGATGGGGCAGCAGGAGCTGAGAGCAGGGACACTATGGCCAGGCACCCCGTGCCTGCCGCTTAACCATTCAGCACACTAATGGCGTGTCCCCCGCCATGTGCCAGCCCTATTATTAATGCACAGTTCCCGCTCTTTGGAACACCCAGCCAAGAGGGAGACAGATAGTAACAGAGCTGTACCTCTCTAGGTCTGCCCTTTGCACAAGTCCAGGCGACACTGTACATACCAAATATATAAAATATAACGCTATCATGGTAGCTCTGTGTGCTCAAGGGGATACATGTTAGGATGAGGATATGAGTGGCTCTGGAACTCTGGAAGGGACATAACCCAGCCAAGGGTGGAGGAAGACAAGTGAAGGTGTCATGCAGGAGGTGCGTGGGGCTGAGTCCGGAAGGGCGCTCCTGGCCTGGTCAGCACTGGCCCAGGTCTGGGTGGAGCTGGGGCCCTGGGTAGAGGCCTGAGGGAGGGAAAGAGAGGCCAGCGCTGGCACAGCTGACCAACGGCAGGCCAGCTGGCTGCATGGGGCCTTTCTAGCCACTGTGATCTCTGAGCCTTGCCCCGGATCTTCCCTGAGGAGAAGGCAATAGAAAACCCACCCACTCGGGAAATGCCTTTCACTCCAATGAGAAGCAACCGAAGTCAGGGCCCGCTGCCCTGAGCTGTCTCCTGACAGGTGGCATGTGCCTGTCTCATCCCCGTCCCACCAAAAACCACTGATAGGAATTCACAAAGGTCTTCCGTCCCCTTTGCGTAAGTAACATCAACTAGTCACCAGGTCACCCTGCATCCTGTCTTCTCAGCTCTCTCTTTAGCTTCTCCCAGATTCCAGGCTCTCAGGACCTGTATGTGAAGAACCCTTCACCTGTGGTGCAATAAGTGGCCAGGGGCTCAAAGGCAGGCAGGGGATGGGGCCGTCTGGGCCACGGAGCCCTGTGGATGCCAATTTTAACAGGTTAAGGAATCCTCATGCCAGTTTCCCCTTGAAGAGCCTGGGTTTAGAAAGGTGGAAACTACAAAGCAAGATGCATTCAAGGAGGGAGAAAGGGAGAGAGAGAGACGAAAAGAGACAGAGACCCTTTTACCTCTAGCATCTACTCTGTACCCAAGTACCCTGGGAGGCGCTTACATTTGTTATCCCACTTAATCCTCATACTAACCCTACGAGGTCGGTATCGCGATGCCCATTTTACCAATGACGAAACTGAGACGCAGAGGTTATATGGCAGTTCCAGCATCTCATGTAGTTTCATCAAAGATGGAGCTAGGATTCCAGCCACACTCCACTGACTCAAATGCCTATGCTTTGCACTTAATCCCTTCAATTAAGTAACCATTCATTTTCCCATTTTTTAATTAATCAAGACATAGATAACTGCCAATCAGGCTTCTGATCAGCATGAAATTAACAGTGTGACTACACCAAATTGTCTGACTCCTGCTCCAAAACAAAATAAAATCTTGACTTTCCCTTACCATATATCCTTCTATCAAAGATGACAAACATTTCATTGACTCAACAAATACTTGCTGAGGGTCTCCAAAGAAAAGTGCTGTGAAAGGTGATTAGAGACACCGTGATGAGCATAGCAGAGTTGCTCACGGAGGCTACAGTTTAGTGGGGAGAGACATTTGCTGAATGATCACACAGACAAATGTGACGTGACTGGGAAAGAAAGGCGTAAGGTGCCATGAGAGTGTGCAAAGGGGACCCTGGTGCAGCCTGGGGGTCAGAGATAACTTCTCCAAGGAAATGGCAATGAAGCTAAGATCTAAGGAATCAGTAAGAGTTACCTAGGCGAAGAAGCAAAGCAAGGGGAGAACATTCTAGAAAATCTAGAGAGACCATCATGTGCAAAGGCCCTGTATGAGGAGGGAATAGAGTATATTTAAGGCATTAAAAGGCTTTGGTCTAACTGGATCCAGAAATCAAAGATGAGCTGGGTGTGGGGCCAAGCCATGCTACATTTAAAATTTGGATTTTTACATTAAAAGTAATAGGAAATTATTGAAGGGTTTCAAGTAGAAGGATGACATGATCAGATTTGCATTTAAAAAAAAAAATGACAACCAATGACCACACTCTGGCTGCCGTGTGAAAGGGTAGGTGAGGCAAGCCCAGCAAGGAGGCGACTGCAGAGAGCCCGGAGAGAATGAACTGTCACTTCCACTAGGACGGTGGTGGTGGCAGTGGGAAGGGGTAGAGGGGCAGGAGGTAAAATCGACAGGCTGTGGTGACAGGGTGAATAAGGAGGGGGAGGGAGGCGGTGCAGTCGAGGTGCCTCCCACGCGTCTGGCTGACAGCACTAAGGAGATGACAGAGTCACTCATAGGAATGAGAAGATTGGACAAGTTTGATGGGAAAGGTCACGAGGTCAGTTCTGAATGTGTTAGGTTGTTAAGATCTACTCAAGACATGCAGTTGGAGGTGGCAAGTGCACAGGTAGCTCTGAGACCCAGGGCAAGGATTCTGCACTGAGATATAAACCTGGGAGTCACCAAGAATGGGAGACAGTCAATGCCAAGGGCAGAAATGAGAGAGAGTCAGGAAACAAGAGTCGGGCTTAGGACTGAGTCCTGGAGAGCTCCCCATTTAACGCTAAGGAGACTTGCCTGCAGTGGAAACAGAAAAGGAGCAGGAAAGAGCTCGGGAAGGAAACTTGGTAGACGAAGCCAAGGGAAGAAAGGACTCAACACGCGGTCGGCGGTGGCCAGTGCAGCCGAGAGATCCAGTAAGCTCAGGGCTGCCAAATGCTCTTTGGCTCCATCGACGTGAAGGTCATCAGTGAGAATCCTTTCTGCTGAGGGATGCGGGGGGAGAGCAGCCCAGAGTGGGTGAAATGTGATCAGAAATAAGGTTATGGAGTCAGCAAATACAGACGACTCTTCTGTGAAGTTTGCTATGCAACAGAAGAAGCTGGCAGGAGCTCCAAGGGAATGAAAGAGTCAGTGGAGCTTTTGTGTTTTTCTTTTTTAAAAAGGGAGAGAGACTTTCTGAAAAATTGAAAGGAATGCTTTGGCACACCTTCCCGCACTTCATCCATCCCTCAAGCTTCCTGAGACCCCAGTGGAACAAGATTAATTGATAGCAAACACTCGGACCTCCCAAACACCCACAACCTCTCCACTCTGTGCTACCGGCTTGTTAAGGGAAAGGAATTTTCCTTTGATTTTCCCATACCCCAGTCTCCCCTTTCCTCTTCCAAATCTCATTAGGAAGTCAAATTAGGAAGCCTACATGCAGCCACGTTTTGTTTTGCAGCAACAGCCCTGCCCCTCTTCTCCGAGCCTGCCTGGTTGAGGTTAATGGGATTCCAGCCTCCCCGCCCAGGGGAAAGCCGGGTGACCTACTTTGCGAGGTCCTGCCCGTGGAAACTGACTTGTTTTTCAATGATCTTCATCTTTATCCCCAGCACCACTTCTCAAAGGACAGCCATGAACGAACAAATTAGCTGCTGACTCGTTTAGCTCAATAAATCAAGCTGCGGCTCCGACAGCCTAGAGTGCAGGTAGAGACGGGGAAGACAGATTCTGAGCGAGACCCACACCCTTCACTGGTATCTCCGGCACCTACCTAAGTAGCAAATGCCCAGGTTTCCTGCAGATCAGTTCCGAATTCACATCACCCCGTTCCTCCAGTTTCATCTGAACGCTAAGAATTACTTACTGGAACTTTTAAAGATAGTTATTTCTTTTCTTATCGTGAATCCTGCAAAGGACTGTGGTCTCCTTAAAGTATCCCCAGCCACTCTGCTTAATTAACACTGATGAGGCCATGGAGCAGAGAGGTGGTCACCCTCTCTGGAAGTCCCCAAGCCTCCGTTCTCCAAGAGCCCAGAGGCATCTTTCTCTTAAACCAGGGCTGGAAGTTTCAGGGCCCTCCCTGTCTCTGAAACACTTGCGCAGGTCTGTGGATGTCCACAGGATTGTCTTCTAGAAGAAGAAAGGGCTTGGACTAGAGGAGCAGGTGGTAGATCTAAGCCTCCAGATGGACATTGAGTCTTAGATGCCTCCTGGTTGTAAACACAGCTTTCTGGACGGTGCAGGAACCTCAGTCAAACCTTTCTCCACGCACCTGGAACTTCAGCCTAGTGAAGGTCTTGGGCGCCCCCTCGTGGCTCTAGTGAGTTCCTGCAACTTTGAAAAATGAGGATTATTTGAAATATTAATACTTACATGATGAAAGACAATACGCTCCGAATAAGTGGTTTAGGAAAGCCTCTTGAGTCTCAATGGTGTGGATCTGTAGTTTAGAAGGGGATATTAAGTCTCTGGAAGGAGTATAAAAATCCTTTTTTATCTCTTATTTATTTAATTAATCCTTATTTATCTCTTATTTTGTGGTGTTTTGGGAAGTTTTCTTTGGAAAAACCAAATGAGAAGGAAATAACCTTTACCAAGTCCTATTATGTATTGATCACTATGATAAGTAATTTCCTCACAATAAAACTCTGGGGTAGGTATGAGGATGCACCCATTTTGCAGATGTAGTAACTATAAAGGGAGATGAGGTCAAAGCCCCTGTCACATAGCTAATAAATATAATAAGTGGCTGGACCCACGATTCTAATCTAGCTCTGTCCCAGTGACCTGGGTTCTTCCTTATACATCATGCTGCCTCTCGGAATATAAAAAGAGGAAACATTTCTCCATGTTTCCCTTTTTTTATTTTTTTTCATTTTTCGGAAGTGGAATTGTCTGTTCACAACTTTATTTAGTGAGATTGTGGCCTTTTTCTCACAGATTTGGATCAGCTCTGTATATAGTATTGATATTAACACTTTGTCAGTAACACCTCATGGAGACATTTTTTGCCAACACATTATTTTTCTGATTCAGTACTGTTATTTGCATTATACAGATGTTTTTAAATTGATATATAATTGAATTAGTTAATTTCTTCCTTTGTGATTGCTTTTATTGTTTCAAAGTTGGAAAAATTAATATTTATCTAATAGATCTTAAAATTTGATTTTTTCTACAATGTGGTTGTTTTCTATTTGACTCTGGATCTTTCATTATTATTATTTTATGGTATATGACATCAGAAGTGAATCTTATCTTTTTATTGAAATTAACTTAGTTAAACCAACCCCACTGGTTGCAACATCTTTCCTTGCCCCCTAATTCAAGTAACCTATTTTGTATAAGTCTTTGTCTATAGTTTCTAGGATCTCCAATCTGTGCCACTGATTTATATTTCTATCTAACCTGAATATCATGCTATTTTGATTATCATGCTTTATCATATACTCTGGTATATGGTAAGGTCGATCAACTCTCTTTGCTAGAAAATGGATACACATTTAAATCCCAGATTTTAAAAAATGAAGCCAAATTAACAAAATATCATCCTGGCATATAAAAATGCATGAATAATAACTTTTACCACAGTTTAAACAAATTAAAGAACTCCAGTCCTAGCTAGCATTTTCTAAGGAAAAGTCATATTTGGTCTTATCCATCTCATTATTTTTGTTATAGAAATAATAAATACTTTGAAGTGATATTTAATTAAATTTAAAGGTCAATAAGAGCTCCACATTCATTTCTTAGATTAATTCATTTATTTCAACAAACATTTGAAGAGAATTCACTGTATGCCAAGTTCTAAGCCAGGCACTGAGATATAGCTGTCAACAAGACAGAAATGGTCCCACTGTTTTGGAACCTGATGGAGAGACAGATATTAACAAGAAATTCCAAGTGAGTTCAGCACTCACTCTACCTATGGGAAGGTAGAATGGGGGCTGTAGACAATTTGGGGAGAGGTCAAGAAATGCTTCCTCCAGGAAGTATTGTATAAACTGGGGGTCAGGGAGGAATTTTCCAGTCAAGGATAAGAGAAAGGTGTAAGGTGTATCTGAAGATGCTAGAAAATTGCTCTGAGGCCCTTATAGATTCAAATTCACTGTATTACCCAATATAAATCAAACATTTTCTGCAGGCATGGGTTGCTCTAAATTTCCCACACCTTAAAACTCTTACCATGGTCTGGAAGGTACCTCACTCAGGGTACAGACTTGGCTACAACAGATCTGGCCAGAATGCATTTGCAGAGAAGGATTTCCACATAGCCTTGTCCTGAGATGGTGACATCCATCAGCTGGGAAGGTATCAGGATGATGCACTGGGGTAGGGGTTGGTTTGGTCTCTACAGATCTGGATTCCTGAGTTGAGCCGTTTTTGTCCCCTTAGGTTGTCATTGTGAATAGTGTCAGCCATGGGGTATAGGATGTGAGTGACTAATCTGACCTGAAATCACATGCTTAGGGAAATGGGAAGGCACTAGGTGGTGCAGGTGGTCTCTATGGCAATGGAAGAGGAAGGCTGCCTCCCAGGGGACTGTCGGATGCCCCACGGTCCAAGAGCCAAGGTGGGCTGGGACATGAAGCAGCCCCACCCAGATACCAGTGCTTTCTGCCTGGCAGTTACTAGAAAGCAGGCCAGACCCTGTCCTATGAGTCCTAGGTGAGCAATGCCAAGCCTCTGCAGACTGCAATCCCTTACAAGCCAGGTCTTTCAAGAAGCTGCTAAAACCACTGACCTACATACCAGAAAATGCACACATAGGAAAAGGAAATTAAATTCCCTGGTTTGTGCCTAAGTAGCAAACCATGTCAGTGTGGTACTTCAGCATTTTATAAAGGCTTCCGAATACAGCATCTCATTTGATCCTCGCAGCAGCACTGCAGGTTGGTATTGTTAGATGAAGACTGAGACTCAAAGAAGGTGAGCAACTCGCCCAAGGTCTAGAGCTAAGAAGCGAGGATCTGTAGCCATCATGCACCCGTTTATTCAGTTGGCCCATAGAGCACCTAGGTACTGGGGTGCAGCTGTGAAACGTAGGGTTCCTGCCTTCAAGGAGTTCCCTTCAGTCTCCTGGGGGAGATGGAACAGTGAGGAAGTAACCACTGCAAAGTAACCTTTTGGAGTAGACATGTGTGATCCCCATTTTAAAGATGTGGACACTGAGGCACAGGAAGTGCCTGTAATTTGCCCAAAGATATGCAGCAAGAGGTGATGCCAGGATGCATGCCCAGGCTTCCCTCCCCCTCTGCCCATCGTTTGGTCCCATCTGGCTGCCAGGGGGTCCAGTTCCAAAGGGCCCAACCAGGTTTGGAGTCTTCGCTGTCCAGGGCAGCCAGAAGCAGTTGGTCCCACCAGAGGGCATGGGGACTCCCATGCAGCCAGCTGGACTGAACAGATCAACTAGTCCCCAGCCAAGGATCCCCCATGGTTAGCAGCCCGGAGGTGCAGAGTCAGGCCGAGCTGCCTCAAGCCTCAGCCCCCTACCAGCTGTGTCTCTGAGGTTCACGAACCTCTATACACTTTTGTTGCCTCTCTACAAAAACAGGAAAATAACTCTAACCCCACAAGATTGTCATGAGGGGAAATAAATAGCATGGGTCTGCCACCCAGTGTGTGCTGAGTAGACGTGGCTGTCTGTCCTCCCCAGACCCTGGGGGTAGGGGGACGCCACCATTCATCTCACGCAGCCCTGGCCATTCCCAAGACTTCCTAGCGACATGAGCAGCTAGGGGTTGAAGAGCTGCCTCCTGTAGCTGTAGACTTGGGATGTTATTCCCACAGCTGGGGTTGTCGGCCAAAGGTCTCTGCTCTAGAGCGGATTCCTGGTCCCGGCTGGAGGAGACAGCCAGAACCAGCTGCCAGTGGATGGGTGCACCAGGGCAGGGCCTGCTCTAGGCAGCTTCCTGAGGACAATCGAGGCAGCGGGCTGGGGGAGATGCCCCTCATGCACAGCAGAGATCTCAGCAGAGAGGAAAGGCGGCAGGGAGAGGATTTAGAAGTCAATGACGGAAAGAATACTAACCTTGAGCTAGTACTGACTTGGGTTGTGGTCTCCTTTCTGCTGCTTAACTTTGTGACTTTGGACAAGTTACATAACCTTCCTGAGCCTCAGTTTCTCCACCCATAAAGTGGAGTCAATAATCCTTAGCCCAGGTCTATGGTGATGAGGATTGAGTGGGAATGTATAAGAAAAGGCTTGGGACATTGTTAAGCAGTTTTTATTTGTAAAGTTCATCTCACACCCAACACAGCAGGGTGCCCACATAGTGCATAGTATTTGTTCATTCATTTACTGAAGAACATTTACTGAGCATCTATTCTCTGCCAGGTGCTATTCTAGGCACTGGAAATAAAGCCATGAGTAAGGTAGACAAAAACCTTGCTTGCCTCCAGTGAGAGATTACAGTGAGTAAACAGCTAAAAAAAATAATAAGCAAGGAAATACAAAATAATGGTAAGCTCAGTGGATCCATTAAAGATACAGAGGTAGTGTCTGATTCTGCCCATGTTTGTTAACGGATGGGCTCAGGACAGAGAAGGGTATAAACCAGTTGTGGCCAAAGGCAGAGTCCAGTGGGAGACCAAGAATCTGGCTTGGTCTGTACTCTCTGTCCCTTTCATCCTTTACCCATGGTCTGGCCAGATGTCCCTGTCCCTCAGAGTGTGGACTCTCGGAGCCCTAATGTAATGGTCTCTGCATTTGATTCCAGGAGAGCAGCCCCCTCGGCTGAATTTTCAGTGGACAGGACACGCCACTTAATGTCCTTCCTGACCATGATGGGCCCCAGCCCTGACTGGAACGTGGGCCTGTCTGCAGAGGATCTGTGCACCAAGGAATGCGGCTGGGTCCAGAAGGTGGTGCAGGACCTGATTCCCTGGGATGCAGGCACCGACAGCGGGGTGACCTACGAGGTATGCGTGTGCCTGCAGTGGCGAGTGGCAAACTTCCCGAGAGCCTCCTCCTTGCCCAGCCCTGTTCTGCGTGTGCCGGACACAGAGGGGAACCGGCCCCAGGCTCTGTTCTGTGTGAACTTACAGTCTGGCAGGGGAGGCAGCACAGTGTCCTCTTCACACACAGTAAGACTGGGTCTCTGGGAAGTGTCCGTGCGATGGCCAGGAGAGCATGGAGCAGTTTACACGTAAGCAAGAGAACAGCATGCCAAAGGCACAGGGGCAAAAAGCAGAGAGAAAGAAAGAGAGAATGCGCATGTGCAAATGCAGAGACCAGCAGGAAGGGTATAAGGCTGGGCCATATCCGGAAGGTTTCTGGACAGCTGGGCTAAGGAGTTTTGATTCTGTCCTGAATGTCACATTTCTCAGCTATAGTCAACTACATTGAAATCTGGAGCCATCAGAAAACCAATGGGAGAACAATCTAGAACAAGCCTCAGCAAACTACAGTTTCCAAGACAAATCTGCCCTTCAACGGGACTTGTATTAATAAATAAAGTTTTCAAAGCCAGCTACACGCATCCAATTACATATTGTCTGGGGCTGCTTTCCCACTACAACAGCTGAGTTGAGTATCAGCGACAGACACAGTATGGCTCACAAAGCCTGGAATATTTACCCACTGACCCTCCACAGAAAACAGTTTGCTGATGCCTAGTCTGGTAGGAAGACTTTTGGATTCACGCCCACCGGGCTCAGACATTTCCTAGCCGAGATGACCTCTCTGAAACTTGGCTGCTTCATCTAGGCACGATCTTCCCATGTATGTGGAGGAATTTTAGAGTATAGATCTAGAAATTTCCAAGTACAGCATATGGCATGAATAGAAATCCACAAATATAAATAGTCGTTATACTTATTAAATTCCTATCAAGGCTTTTGTGCTGATCCATATAACAAATGGCTTTTGTGGGTTTTACCAGTTTTATTTCTCACTGTCTGTATCTGTGTTTTTTCCTGCAGTCACCTAACAAGCCCACAATTCCCCAGGAGAAAATTCGGCCCCTGACCAGTCTGGACCATCCTCAGAGTCCTTTCTATGATCCAGAGGGCGGGTCTATCACTCAAGTAGCCAGAGTTGTCATCGAGAGAATCGCCCGGAAGGTACTGGATTAGAGCTCACTCTGGCACTGACCCTTCCCACCAGGAGTGCCAAGAAGACTGCACACCTTTGTGCTCTAGAATCAGGGATTCCCTGGCGGAAAGCACCTCAGGATATGAAATTCTTGGGCCTCCCAGGGTTTCCAGCGTGCAAATTATAAGATGTAAATGAGCAAAATGAAGTCAATAGGCCCAGTGCTCAGATGAATGATTTGATGTAGGCAGATCGATTTCATCATGTGTTCCATAATCAATTACTAATGTCTGCCCTGGGTCAGGAACTGGGAAGCAGTGGTACACAAGCCATGCATTTACCATCCCTACCATGTAGCCACTCCTGCTTTCCTGGCATTTCTTTTTCAGTCAGATTGTAAATGTCTGCCCAGGATTTGTACAGAGTGGGCATTAGATTTTATGTCCTCCTTCGTCCTTCCCCTATGCATTCCCTTCTTTCTCTAATGTGAGCCCTCCAAGTAAAATTCCTTTTGCAGGGGGAACAATGCAATATCGTACCTGACAATGTCGATGATATTGTAGCAGACCTGGCTCCAGAAGAGAAAGATGAAGGTATGTGTGTTGTTTGCCTTTGTTGTAGGTGGCAACATAAATTGGCACCACCCTTTGGTAAACCCATGTGCTAACATGTTTTAAGAACCATAAAAAATTCATATATTTTAACTTGGTAATCCCATCTCTGAGGATTTCTCAAGAAATAATTAAAAACAAGGCCAAGACTAGGCACAAGGTGTAAGGGAATTGGTAAAGGGATGACATTGGAATATGTATTTAGCAGCATCAGGCCTTTAAAATGATCATGTATCTCATCTGAATAGCCTTTGCAGCCTTCAGGCCACTCTCTGCTCTGATTCTTGCACTGGCCACGAGGCAGGCATGAGTGCGTCCACTCCCCCAGCAACCAAAGTGAGGCCACATCCTACAGTCAGGAGGGAGTGACAGAGCCACGGTTCACACTCAAGTTTTCCCATAGGATCTGGAGCCAGGCAGCCTGGACTCTCATTAGCCCTGTGGTCTTGTGCAAGAAGCTAACCTTTCTGCCTCAGTTTCCTCAGCTGTAAAGTGGGTATAATGACAGAACCTACTTCATAGAGAGTTGCTGTGAGGATCAAGTGGGATAAAATATGTAAGGGTTTTAGAATGATGCTGGCACATAATAAGTGCTCAGTGAACATCGTCTGCCCTTATTCTTATCATGACATCTGTGTATGGGATCATCGGGAAGATGAAGCCACAACATTAAGAAAAGCCTCATGCCTTCCAAAACTGCTTATGATATACCTATGTGTGTGTAGAAGCAGGGACTGCCAAGGTAAGGGACTGGAAATGAAAAGATGTTCATGTTTCAAGGAATGAGTAGTATGAGAGTCGTTCCAATGATTGAGATATTTATTGACAAGATGTTAAAATATAATTTTTAAAGGGAAGCGAATGGCCGCTTCCATCTCAGGAGCACCCAGGCTCACTGAGGCTGGTTTGGCAGCATGGCCTTTCTTGTCCCCAATTGGGCTGGACTGGGGAGAGGGCCAGTCGCAGCTGCCGCAGGCTCCCAGGGAAAACATGTCAAACACTCTTTCCAGATGACACCCCTGAAACCTGCATCTACTCCAACTGGTCCCCGTGGTCCGCCTGCAGCTCCTCCACCTGTGACAAAGGCAAGCGGATGCGGCAGCGCATGCTGAAGGCACAGCTGGACCTCAGTGTCCCCTGCCCTGACACCCAGGACTTCCAGCCCTGCATGGGCCCCGGCTGCAGCGACGAAGGTGAGGAGACAGCCCAGGACAGCAGGGGCTGGCAGGAGCTCAGGAAGGGAGGCCTGGCAGCGTGGGCCCCTCACACCAAATCAGGCAGCGTCACTGTGACCCTGGTGGAGTCACTGTGTCACTGTGACCCTGCTGATCAGGGTCCACCTCAGGCAGGCAGACCTCAATCTGCAACAGTGCTTGAGGGCTCTGAACACAGAACATGTCTTGTCACATCAAAAGAATTCTTGAGACTGAGGGACTACCTCCCTCTCTCCCCAGCTATGGAATAAAATACACACAAGTTACTAAAGAACTAACAAGCATAGATAATCTTATGACAAATTACAGATAATAAGTAGCTTGCTTCTGTGTCTTAACTCCACTCTCTTTTTAAGGAGCCAGTGAATCTGGTAACCAAGATTGAATGGAGATCCATTGCTCTAATTCTGTTACCGTGGTCTCTCATCTGTGTCCCACCTCAGCCTCAGTCCGAGTGCTCACTTCTTTATGTCATGACCTTTGGGCAGACTGCAGAAAATCTCAGTCTCTCTCTCTGCAACTGCCCAAAGGTCAGGCTTGAACTATGAGGGTGCAATACATATGCCATGATGGCTCACGCTTCAAGATCGCACTAAGCTGATTGCTGGGCAAAGGTTGGCTGCTGCTTCCCAAGGCATGCCTCCTCCTTCTTCCTGGGTAGAGCTACACACTGTTTTTTGATCTTACAGAGCACAATGAGGCAGTGGGAGGGGATGTTTAGGGTGCAAGGGTGTATGGCAGGAAGAAACTGACTTCCAAGCTGAGGACAAGTAAGGAAGGCTCACCCCACTGCAGGCCATTCATTCCCTGGCTCTTCCTGGGGGACAGTCTTAAATGCCACTCCGGCTGTACTCCCATGGTGGTTTATTGCTAGCTCTTTTTGCCCGTGATAAGGCACTTTGAAAAGGAGGAAACCCTGCCATAGACGGCCCATTCCTATAAGCAGGCAGGGGAAAGGTTTGACTGGCCTGTCAACATTGAAGGCTTTCTTTCTTGGGGCTGGGGAGCTGTCTGACTAAGGCCTTAGTGGGAGTTGGGGTCTTTAACTTCCTCCTCTACAGAGAAGAATCCTTCCTCATGCCAGTTTAGGTGGCTTCCAGGTGGTAATGACAGTTTTGAAACATGTGTTATATATTCGAGATTCGCAGGGCCGTGGGACAGAGAGAGAGAGTCACCGAGGCTGTAATTATCAAAAGGAGTTTTAATGTCTAGCTGGAGCTAGGGTCTGAGCCCCCAGAGTGCCAGCGCAGTGGCCTCTTCTTCGGGCAGGGACCTCCCCTTGTGTGCTAGTGAGCCTTTTATACCTAAGCTGTTTACATGCTGATTATACATCCGCCCCCACAGTGATTCTTACTTCATCCTGCCCCTGATAGGCTCTAACCTGTTCCGGGTCCTAGCTGAGAGACTCCGGTTTCCCTGTTCTTTGTCCTTCTCCTCCTCTGCATCCCATAATGTACTCATAATGCCTTGAGGTTAGCAAGCAAGCAGTAAACAGAAGCTGGAAGGTGTTTGTTATCCTAATAGCCCAGTATCTTACACATGCTGGACTGTGTCTGTTTTTCACCAGGGTTAAAACACTGCTGGTAGGGAAGCAGTCCAGGCTCCTAGAAGCTACCTTGCCCAGAGCCAAATAGAGTTCTCCGTATACTCACATCAAGTTCCCTTCTGCATGTACTTATTTGGGGGAGTGGTTGGAAATCAGAAGGAATTAGAGATTTCTTTGGACATCCTGAAAAATTATTTGTATAAGATGCATGGACTTCCTTGTGTTGTCACAGCTGCCTCTTAGTTAAATTTCTTCCTAATTATCTGATCGAGTTCTCCCGGCTTCCAAGGCGAAGAGACGTGTGAGTTACATATGCTTCACGAGGCCCTGGGCTCAAAACTACTGTGAGTTAAATACAACTCACATGGCCGTTAACGTGTTAAAGATTTAGACCTCTTCCGTGCACTTCCATCCTCAACTGCCTAACTCCCCTTGACTGCCCCCTGGTCAGTTCTTGGTTTCCGCCCGCGGGAAGTCCCTTCGCGGCCCCGCCCACGGCTGCAGCGCACGCTCGGTGTGTTGCAGACGGCTCCACCTGCACCATGTCCGAGTGGATCACCTGGTCGCCCTGCAGCATCTCCTGCGGCACAGGCATGCGGTCCCGGGAGAGGTACGTGAAGCAGTTCCCGGAGGACGGCTCCGTGTGCACGCTGCCCACCGAGGAGACGGAGAAGTGCACGGTCAACGAGGAGTGCTGTGAGTGCGGCGCCGCATGGGCGGGCGGCCGGGCGGGCGGGGCGGTCCCGAGGCCGAGGGGCGACTCAACTCCGTGGGGCTCTGCAGCTCCCAGCAGCTGCCTGGTGACCGAGTGGGGCGAGTGGGACGAGTGCAGCGCCACCTGCGGGATGGGCATGAAGAAGCGGCACCGCATGGTCAAGATGAGCCCGGCGGACGGCTCCATGTGCAAGGCCGAGACGTCCCAGGCGGAGAAGTGCATGATGCCCGAGTGCCGTGAGTGGGCGTGGGGCTGGGGCTGGGGGAGGCGGCCGGGGACGGGCGTGGAGGGCCACAGCACCCCCTACCACCACCGTAGAGGTCGGAGGCTGAGCAGGAAGAAAGCATGGTCCTTGCGGGGACTTCTTGCTCCATGGAGTTCACTTACTCAAACCCCCCGGGCAGTTCCACTTCACTCTGGGGATTAGAGCAGGGGACCGCATGCGGGGCGTTGTGGGCCCAAGGAGATCAAAGAAAGCAAAGGGAGCCTGCGTTCAGTAGCAAACCTGGCTCTTGATCTAGACACCATCCCATGCCTGCTGTCCCCGTGGTCCGAGTGGAGCGACTGCAGCGTGACCTGCGGTAAGGGCATGCGGACCCGCCAGCGGATGCTCAAGTCCCTGGCAGAACTCGGAGACTGCAACGAGGACCTGGAGCAGGTGGAGAAGTGCATGCTGCCCGAATGCCGTAAGTCCTGGGGCTCCCAGAAGCCCACCACTTCTCTTCTATGTTCCCGAGTCGAGGAAGCCCAGAACCAGCCCTGTGCTGAGATAATACTGCTAGATCTCATAGCAAAACTGCTGGGGAGAAGCATGCAGTTTGGGTCTCTGCGTTGGTAATTACTAACCCTGCAGTCAGTCTCGTTAGTAAAGTGGGGCTCCTGCTACCGTCTACAGAACAAAGTACAAGTTGCTGTGAAGTCTTAATGGGAGACACATATGAAAAACCTTTAGCACAAGGCTTAATAAACCTCAATTCTTTCTCTCCTCAATTATGGGCTTGTCTGACCCATGGATTTTCCAAGCTTTTTAATTCTATACGTCTTCCCTGCAACCATTTTATTTACCCATGACCAGAAGCTGGACATTAAATCAGTGACTCCTGCAGCCTAGTACGAAGACCAGCAAGAAAACGAGCCAAGTGCCCCAAAGCTCGCTGCCCCTCTCCCCCAGTCGCCTCCAAAATCTCTGTGGTCAGCTATTTTTATTACATGAGGCCTACTCTCTAAGCAGAGAAAGCCAGTTTGTCTGGCCAGTCTTGCACAGGCTGCTCTTGTAGGTGGTGAAAGGGCAGGCAAACTCACGCTTGCGGTGATGTGCTGTTTTCAGGTTCCCTCTAAAACGCACTTGCAGTCTTTCCTTTTCCCTCGCCTTGTTAGAATTCAGGCTGCCTGCCCAGTTCCCATGCCAGCTCTGCCCCTTCACCGGCTTCTCGTAACCTTCAGAGATTAGTTCTCATTTCTGTCCCGCAGTTTCCTCGTCTGTGAAATAGGTTGCTCCAAGCGTGAGCACTGGAGCTGGCGAGCACAGGCCTCGGTGGCTTTCCCAGGCTACAGCGCCTGGGCTGTTTAGCCAGACTCGGCCACGCGCAGAGATAACTTGGACATCGACTAAAGAAACCTGTTGTTTCTAGTAACTAAAATCGACCTGTCGTTCAAGCCAGCTCACTAGAGTTGGGGCCCCTGAGCCTTTCGACTGAGACAGTTTCTGACTTAAAAGTCTTAATATCCACAGAGCCCACCAAAGGGAGGCAGAAGAAAATGAACATTTATGCAGCACTTACTCACCTACCAGCTGGCAGCATTATCTTGTTTAATCCTCACGACTTAATGGGAGAAATAGCATTATCCCCATTTTGCAGATAAGAAAGCTGCCTGAGCACCCACAGGGAAAAAAAGGCCTGAAACTATTGAACAAAATGAGGATCTTCTAGATCCAGCCTAACCCTGACCTTGCAAGGCCTATGGAGATTTTGGAATCACTTACCTCCCTAGCGCACACCCTAAGAATCACACAGATGTATTGTTTCCCCTTCGTTTGTGAGAGGCCGGCTCAGTAAAAATTTGCTGGCTCTTGTGATGTGATAAACCATAAAACACCACTTGCTTCTGACCGTCTTCTGAATTTCCCATTTCTGGCTCCTGTGCTTTTGCACAGATAGCCATTTATAGGACACAGGATGACGTCAAGGACAAGAAAAGCTGCCTAGGTCTATGAAAGCCACAGTGTCCTTGATATTGGTCCACCAGGGTCAGCCACCTGTTAGCTTGTGGACGTGTTCTCTCCAAACGAGTCAGGCAGCAGGGGCCTTGTTGGCTTTGCTCTGAAAAACACCACCAGTGAGCTGAAACTCCCCTGAGAAAACCTAGGTCCTTTGCACTATGGAAGGCTGGTCTGTGCCACGTGAGGCTGATTTAACAATATTCTAGGAACTCACAGAGCAGGGCAAGAGGCTCCGAACACATCTCAGAGTCCCCCAAACCTTTCTTGAGTCATACAGGGGGTACAAAATCTGGGTTATGACCTGGCACCAATCCTGCCTCTACCGCTTACCAACAGTGTGGGCTGGGTGAAGTCGGCCTCTTGGAGCCTCAGTTTCTTCCTCTATTCAGTGGGATAAATAGCACCTGCTTTGCAGTCCTCCCAGGCTTGTTGAGATGTTCAAAGGACAGTGTAAGTGACCATACCTTGTTTCAGACATGAGATACACTCATACCCATCTGTGTCTTGCCAGCCATTGACTGCGAGCTCACTGAGTGGTCCCAGTGGTCGGAATGTAACAAGTCATGCGGGAAAGGCCACATGATTCGAACCCGGATGATCCAAATGGAGCCTCAGTTTGGAGGTGCACCCTGCCCAGAGACTGTGCAGCGGAAAAAGTGCCGTGTCCGGAAGTGCCTTCGAAATCCATCCATCCAGAAGTTGCGCTGGAGGGAGGCCCGGGAGAGCCGGAGGAGTGAGCAGCTGAGGGAAGAGTCTGACGGGGAGCAGTTCCCAGGTATCGCTGCCAAGCGTGGGGCCGGGCTGGTCTCCAGGACAGGCGGGGTCTGCACTGAGCTAAGTCATAGGTCTGTCAGAGAAAGGAGTGCGGGAGAGACTACATTTTCTGGAGTCTTCAGTCTGCATTTTGATTATTTACATACAAATTTTTCCCAAGTATTAAGCTAGCATAATTTATAATAGAAAGGATGGGGGTATACTTTATCAAAGAACTTTTAGATAACATAATTACCTGCCCCATTTTCAAGCAAAGAACCCTTAGGAATTGCATAATTCCTTCCTTTCTACACATATATAAAGTCAGAAGTCTGTCCAACCTTGCTCAAAATCACAGTTATGACTTAGTGACCCTATAGAAAATAATGATATGGACATATGTATCAAGGAGTTTTGTTCATCATTTAAGGAATATTCCCAAGGACCGCCCAGAACAAGTGGTCCTCCAATAATTGAAGGGTGTGGCTCAGACAAACTGGCCCTGGCCTGAGGCTCTGATTTATTTTTGCAATGTTAACCACAAAATTTAGCAGCAGTGTCATGTCAGCCTTGAGTTTTATTTCCCCAAATATTATTGATCCAGGCTGCTAAGTAACTAAGTGACTAATGCTCCAATAGAGCAATGAACCAAGTACCGAGGGAGCATCTTACATTGAGTGGAGTTCAGAGAGGGAGATGTCAGAGCAGGGAGAATCAGAGTGGGCCTTGAAGAAACTGTAGGAGTTTGCCAGTTAGAGAAGTGCATTCCAGGCAGCAGGAATAGTAACTGCCAAGGCAGAGATGCCAAAGAGCATGGCATGTCCAAGCAATAAATGGGATGCGGATGGAACACAGAGTACAAGGTAGGCAGGAAACCAGGCTGAAGAGGTGGGGAGCCAGACCATAAAGGACAGTGGCCTGCTCAGGGGACTTGATTCTGTAGGTGAATGTTTTAAGCAAGAGAGTGACTTTAAAGGTCTATGTTGAGTGGTTTGGAAGTGGCAAAAACAGAGGCATGAAGGCCAGTTATTAAATTTTGTTTGCAATCCAGAAGGAAGATTATGTGTCTGCCTCCTCCAGCTTAACTTGAGGGATCCAAGACTTAAAAAAAAAAAAAAGCCTGCCTGAGGCTTCACTACTGAATAAACTGGCCCACGCCAAGAATGATAGCATCAGCAAACTAATGAAACCATGGGTTGGGAAGATCCATGGTGAAGGCTTGCACACAGGCGGATAGATGATCTTTGGATTCCCTGGAATGGGCGAAGGTGCCCATCTAAAAGTACAGGTTAATGGGTACACCAAGTTTCTAGTTATTTTTAAAGGCCCAGGTCAAATTACCCCTTTTCTTCTGTCTTAGGATGCTCCTTCTCCACCTGGGATGTTGAGAAATGGAGACGGTGTGAGCAGTTCACCATCCTTCCATTAGGAAGCTGTTCACATAGCAAAATGTTGTCTGTTGCACATCAGTCAGCCAATCAACATTCCTTAAAGCCAACTATGTGCCAAGCACCCTAAAACTGTAGTGTTATCTCGTTTTGAGACAGAGTCTCACTCTGTTGCCCCACCTATATAGTACAGTGGCCTCATCATAGCTCACGGCAACCTCAAACTCCCGGGCTCAAGCAATCCTCCTGCCTCGGCCTCCTGAGTAGCTGGGACTACAGGCATATGCTATCACACCTGGTTAATTTTTTCTATTTTGAGTAGAGATGGGGGTCTCGTTCTTGCTCAGGCTGGTCTCTAACTCCTGAGTTCAAGTGTCCTCCTGCCTCGGCCTCCCACAGTGCTAGGAATATAGGTGTGAGCCATTGCACCTGGCCAAAACTGTAGTTTAAACAATCATTAACATGATTCTGTGGTTCACTGACTTGGGCTGGCTCAGCAGGACGAGTCTTTCAAGGTCTAGCTTGGACTCATTCATGTGGCTCAACTGGGGCTTAAAGGGCATTGTGGGATGGCTGAGGCCTCTCTCCACGTGGCCTCTCCAGCCAGGCTTGCTTACGTGGTGGCAGAAGTTTTCCTAGCAGTGTTTTTCAAGCCCTGTTTTTGTTCATGTCCCATGGGCCAAAGCAAGTCACATAGCCAAACCCAGATTCAAGAGGTGGAGAAATAGACTCTGCCTCTTGATGAGAGGAGCTGCAAAGTATTAATATTTATGACCATTTTTTTGCAATCTATCATGTATGAGCTAACGATCCCAAATACAGATTCTAACCATTAGTTAATTCAACAAATCATTACATACAGGAGTAGACAAGGAGCCCAGACAACTAAATTTCAGTTTTACTGAAGTTCAGCATCCCTGCTCTGTCCTCAATTTCTGCTGGCCTAACGGGGTATTTTCATGCTTTCAGGTTGTAGGATGCGCCCATGGACAGCCTGGTCAGAATGCACCAAACTGTGTGGAGGTGGGATTCAGGAACGCTACATGACCGTAAAGAAGAGGTTCAAAAGCTCCCAGTTTACCAGCTGCAAAGATAAGAAAGAGATCAGAGCATGCAACGTTCACCCTTGTTAGCAAGGGTGCAGGTTCCCCAGGGCTGCACTCTAGATTCCAGAATCACCAATGGCTGGGTTGTTTGTTTGCTTGTTTAAGACAATTTAAATTGTGTACACTAGTTTTCATTTTTGCAGTGTGGTTCGCCCAGTAGTCTTGTGGATGCCAAGGACATCCTTTCTGAATACTTCCTGGTGGGTACTGGCTCAGTGGGGCTCTCTCACCTTCAGCCAGCGCTCTTCCTGCACAGAAGTGAGTAGTGTCGGCCACCCTGTCCTAAACTGAAACGTGTCCCTGTGGAGCTTCCACCTACCTGGCCAGGCAAGATAGAGACCTTGGCCTCCTCCACACAGAGAGGCAACCGTGTCTGGAAATGACTGTCTGCCTGGGCCCCAGGGTGCAGCAGGTAGGAAACATTCCTGATTAGATGGGGAGAGCAGGTTCCCCTCGCCCTCATCTTTGGCCTGTTCACTCTTGCAGAAAACGACTGTTTGCCCATCTCTTTTCATTTAGTGGAACTTTAGGTCTCTTGTAAAGTGTCCTCCATCATCAATAGCTCCTGGGGAAGACAGAGCTGGTAGACTTGATGAGGAGTATTGACATTGGGTGGCTTTTCTTTCCTCACTGAGAAATTCTGAATACATTGATCCCACTCCCCTAATATTGGTTCCTGATACCCTAAAGGAAAAAGATGATGGCTGCTTTATTTAAAGGTAAAGTAACCAGTTCTTACACCTGAGATAAAGGGTACTAAGTGTATAAAGTATTTTTTTTCCTTGTTTTTTGTTTGTTTGTTTGTTTGTTTTTGGGGGTTTTTTGCCCACAATTCTTTTAAGAAGCCAGCCCTATAAACCTTTTGGCACTAAATCCTTATTGGAGCCAAGGCCAAGGCAGCAAAATTGGCCTCTCTAGCGATCCCAAGCCTGAGTTTTAAAATTGTCTGACACACATCTAGACTTTGAAGTTTTCAAATCAGTTTCTAACAAAACATTTTTGTTATGCAAACATTTTGCTAAGTCTGCCCAGAGCCTCCTGAGTCATTCTTTCAACAAAATGACTATCTCCAAAGTTATTCTTGAGTCATGAAATTTTATATGTAGAGAGAAAAAGTATTTCAGAGACAAAGACAGAAAATCTAAGAGAAAGGAGTATCAGGAATCAAGCTGAGCAACAATTCTGGTGGAAAGTCAAATCTGTGTCAACTGTCCCCGCCAGGGCTTGCGTCCTCCTGGACATGCACAGGGAAGGCCATGTTGACATCCCCTTCCAAGCAATCACAGGCACACTGAATTCAGGGAGATCAACTGCCAAGGATTAGTGTAAAAGGATATTTTCTCAGTTGAGCCCATCAGCAGTTTTTGCATTTATTGTTAAAACTATTGTTTCATTTCTCTTGCAGGCCTTCATTATTACTGCTTAATCCAAATATGTACCATGGATGAGATGCATACAATGCTTTGATTACACTACTTTAAGTATTTGTATTAAACACATCAGGATATTTCCAAACACGACATATATATACTATAGCCCTGAATATGTATTTTCTTTAACACAAGATAGACTGTTCAATAAAAAGTCACTGGGTCTGTCTTTTGTGTTTTTAAGCTAATTAAATGTTCAGAAGCTTGGGTCTTTTTACAATTGTCCACCTCAATCATTTTCAGTAAAAGATATGGCTTTTGCTCCCCCATTCTGAAGGGGACATTATTACCAAATCTCTGAGCTACATCTGAGTTGTTTCCAACATTGTATTTTCAATCCTTAAGTGAACTGCTTCATCCCCAAAGGAGCATAATATAAAGAAATTATAAGTTTAATTTTCTACTTGGACAAAAAAAAAAAAGTCCTGATATAGAATCTGCCTACTTTTTCAACATTGTTCTAAGGTATCTAGGTGCATATTTATACTCATCCCATGAAAATCAAAGTTCCCTATACAGTGAGTCCTATGTCCAGGAACAAGCCACCCTAGTATCTCATATTCTTACTTGATCCCTGCTGGGTACATTTCTAATCCTAATTTTGAAGACTTAAAACCAGGTTACTGGTTAATGGCTGAGAATGAGTAACAATTCTTGTTGCAGAAATGTTATTTTTCTGTTTGCAACGGGGAATTTCTAAGAAATGTCAAATCTCTTTCTTACCAAAGTCTTGTGTTAGGTGGTTTATAGTTTTTCTGGCTAACCAATCATTTTGGAAATAAAGACTTTTTACTACAAAAATGAAATTTGTTTGGACTTCCACTTGAGATAATAAAGAGATTAGACACCGAGTAGAAACTGCCATATAAAGAAGTTATAATTGTTGTATATCTTTTTATCAATGGCAAACCAGTTGTAATCCAATTTACATCCACATTTTAACATTAAGTTTGGAGATATATTTCCCAGCCAGACATTGGGCCACTCACCTGTCACTTTGCCAATGCATTTTATTTGAAGGAAATCTGTTGTAGCAAATGAGAATAAAACCTGGGCTTCTTTAGACCCAGAATAAAAAGATTTTGTGCTGTTTTTAATTTGAATTTTGTGTATTAAACATATTTTGGACATATTCAAAGTCTATGTACTCCTTTTCAGGGAGTAAGGGAACATTATACATTCTCACATGACAACTGCCCTCCAAGTACAGTCCAGGTCAAGTCCATGGTTAAAATGTGCTATGGTTGGGGTTTGTGCCCACCAAAACTCATGTTGAAATCTGATCCCCAACGTGGTAGTATTAGGATGTGGGTCCTAGTGGGAGGTGTTTGGGTTATAGGGGCATATTCCTCATGAATAGCTTGGAGCCATGGTAGTGCATGAGTTCTAGCTCTCCAGAGACTGGATTAGTTCCCATGGGAATGTTCCCAAGATAGGGGGTTGTTATCAAAAGCCAGGATGCCCCCTCGGGTTTTGCCTTTCAAATGTGTCCGCTTCCTCTTTGACCTTCTCCACTATGTGATGACATGGCATGAAAAGACCTCAACAGAAGCTAAGCAGGCACCAGCACCATGTTTCTTTCTTATAATTCCCAGCCTGCAGAACCATGAGCTAAATAAACCTATTTTCTTTATAAATTACCCAGCCTAGGTTATTCTGTTAGAGCCAACATTAAAAGGACTAAAACAAATGTCAATACACAAAAATTCTCCACGTCAAATTATTTCTGTGACCTACTTTTGTTTAATTTACATGTTTCAGGCAATAGTTAAAAAATAAAAATATATTTTTAAAAAAACAGAAAACTCAAGAAACTATAGAAAGACCTCTCCAGACCATTTTATAATAGAATCCAACCTGGAACAAAAGAGCTCAGAGCTCTGAAGTTCGGCTACAAAGGAGTTAAACATGTACACCCTAAAGAAATGGATAGCATTGTCCAAAAAAAGACTAACCATAAATGTTTAATCCCTAATTATGAAGACACAGCTATTTCCACTATTTTGTTACTTGGTGCTATCAATTTTAATAATGGAACGATTCATTTTGTTCATATTGCCCAAAGTAAGGAGAATGAATGAAAATTAATTAATCCCTTTTGAAAATGAGATGCAGAAACAAAATTATAAATAGCAGCTGAATGCTAATTAGCATGAATCTAATTCTTCAATTTAGATCCTTTGCAATCTGAAAGCAAAAGATTTATACTAAAATGTCAAGTTTAAATGGCATCTTGCTTTTTAGAAACCCTATTGGTTTGGAAGGCTTTCTACACTCTCCACTGTGTAGGGTGGAGAGGCAGAGACTGTGTAATGAATGGTTAAGCATGGGGCACCTAGGTTGAAACCAGTGCTGCACCTCTGAGCAGCTTTGAGAGCTGGGTCCAGTTATTCTAACCTTTTCTGGCCATGGGCTCTGACACAAGGTTTCTTACACAAAGGGACTTAATCACCTCCCTCTCCAAATTTAGCCAATTTCTTGAGAAGGGGTCTTGTCTTAGGATTTACCAAAAGCCAACTAGACCCCACCCAATGCTTACTTCTTCATAAACCAATAAATGCACACTTTGTGCTGAAGCTGGTTTGAGCTGCATTTCTGTCACTTAAAACCAAAAATGTCATGACAAAATATGCATGCACAGCTTTTATAGTTATCATAAGAGCAAAATGAAATTAGACTTTCACTTAACATTCATAATATTCATAGTGTCTTAACACAAGATAGCATTCATTAACATTTTTCATATTGCTGAAAATAATATCTTTAGAATTGATTGGTAATACTTCTCATATTTTAAGCAGTTACATATGTAAACAATTTTCCTTTGCCTCAAATAATCTGTAAGTATTAACAGAAAGGAAAAAGGCAAAACATCTTATTCAAGTATACTGACTCCTTTACAATACTTAGAGTTTATAAAAGTATAGTCCCTATTTTCCTACAGTTGGAATGCAACTACTACTGGTGACCCTAACCTAGAATTACCAACTTACCCATGAAGTCAGACGACCCACTTGTGCAAAATACCCGAATCTCCTGCTCCCTTACCCACTATGTCAGCGATGCTGAAAGCCAAGACCTGCAGCCTGATAACATGCACAAATGAGACACAGAAACTGAAAGCAAGTGTTTAGAAACTTTCACAGTAATGTGACATTGCCACAATATCCCAAGACAATGATTATTTTCCCAGTAATTTGTTTTTCATTACATTTAGCAAAGTATCAGTCCACAATAATGGAGATTAAAAAATTTGTAACCGGCCCTTTAACACAGATCATCTGAAAAGGTGCACTACGTACCATTCTCGTGAGTCAGAAAAGAATGCCAGCCTGCAAACCCTAGGTGTTTCAAATCTCTCAAATGCTTTAGTATCCACATGGTAGTGCCTAATTCAGATTCGCATACCTACATTTCTAGGCCCTTGCATTGGCTCTGTTTCTTACTCTTCTAACATCCTATCCTATAAAGCAAGAGAATTGCCCCATCACCCTAATTTTGCCACAGAATTTCTCAAAATAACCCACATTTACTTCTTCCACTTCAATACCTTTCAACCACAACTCAACTCGTTATTATCTGGTTTCCACAACCAGGTGACTGGAGCGAATCTACGGAAGTCATCAGCAACCCATAAATGATCAGTCCTGGCTCTTACTCCCTGTTCTCTCTCCACAGCTCTCAGTGCTTTCTACCAGCTCCTTGGTTTCCTTGACAATACAGCCTCCTGATTCTCTCCAGTTTCTGGCTGTTTCTCTTGGCTTTTTGCTGCCTCTTAATCTTCTATCTCCCAAATGTTTGTTTTCCCCCAAAATTTAAGCCTTCAAACACACTCTCTTTCTAGTGGATATTATCCACTCTTATCACTAGCTCAAAATAGATGAACTTGGCCAGGCACAATGGCTCACACCTGTAATCCTAGCACTCTGGGGAGGCCGAAGCAGGAGGATAACTGGAGCTCAGGAGACCATGTCTACTAAAAATAGAGAAATTAGCCAGGCATCGTGGCAAGTGCCTGTAATCCCAGCTACTCAGAAGGCTGGGGCAAGAGGATCGTTTGAGCCCAGGAGTTTGTTTGCAGTGAGCTATGATGACACCACTGTACTCTACCTGGGGCTACAGAGCAAGACTTTGTCTCCAAAAAAAAAAAAAAAAAAAAATGAACTCCAAATCTGCATTTCTAGTACTAACTGCTTCTTTTGACCTCCACTCCTCATTCCATTCCAAATGCCTCCTGGACTAACCCTGTATGGGTCTGTCACACACACACAAAAAAAATCACTAGAGAATTGCCCATACTCATTTTAATTAATAGCACCACCTGGTTACCCTCTTAGTATTCTGGAGACTCAAACATCTTGGATATACCTCTAGTGTCCAGTCTCCTTCTCCCCCACGTTACTGCAGTTCAGGCCTTCATTATCTTTCTCTGAAATAATTCATTTTCAATAAGTTATTTTTCTGCACATGCCAGGCAATGTGGGTAAAGCGGTAAACACAACAGACATTACTCTTCCCTAAGTTTATGATACTGAGAGGACAGATTCCATGACTTCAACCACCTCTCACCTGACCGCCCTTTCCTAAATCTGCATTTCTCTGCCATTCACACTACCACTAGATTAGATCCAGGCACCTTCAGGTTAGAATCCTTGGCAGTTTCCCATTATACACAGAAGGGTCAATCCTATTTAAAGCCCCACACAACACCATTTCTATTTTTTCCCATCGCATATATATAGTATCTTTTTAGACGAAGGCTCCAGTCCCAGAATACACCCTGGATTCTACCAACTCTGTGCATTTCCCTCAGCCTTTCTACTATCTCACTTGTCTCCTCTCCAACTCATCTCAAATCCTACAATCCATCAAGCTCCAGCCAAATCACCACTTCTAATTAAAAAGCACCTTCGTATTATCCAGGAAGAATATATACTGCCATCCCTTCTGCTGGGCCTGACAACACTTTTTGCATGTTTCTCATATTTGTCCTTAAAATAGAGGGATCCCAGCATTTGATGTTGACTGTCTTAAACTTTAACCATTAGAGTAATTTTAAGGAAGAAAAAGCTCCACGTCTATCCATTTCCCCAGAATGCCTAATATGGCCTTGCAAAAAGAAACATGCTCAGTCAAGTATTGTTTAATTAAAATATCTTTTTTTGCTAAAAACAAAACAAAGCAAAACTTAGAAGTGGTCACCGGTTAAATACCCTTAGGCGCTCAAGTGATAAGAGTTTGAGAATGACCATTTGATCATCATCTCCTTCTATCTGTCTACCAGTCATCTGTTCCATGGGATCATTGGGAAAGGAAACAAAATGAATTAAAATAAGTCAAGTGGTGATAAATAGAAGATGTGCAGGGCTACACTGTAAGTATGTACAACTTTGTTACATCAAATTTTAAAAGTCAAATGAAACCTCATGGGAAACAGTATGGAGATTCCTCAAAGCAGACCTACCATTTGATCCAGCAATCCCACCACTAGGTATTACCCAAAGGAAAAGAAATCATTTTATCAAAAAGATACCTGCACTTGAATGTTTACTGCAGCACAATTCACAATTGCAAAGATGTGGAATCAACACAAGTGCCATTGATTCATGAGTGGTTTACAAAATGTGGTGTGTCTATGTCATGGAATACTACTCTGCCACAAAAAATGCCTTCTGCAACAATTTGGATGGAACTGGAGATCATTATCCTAAGTATCTAAAGAATGGAAAAACAATCACCATATGTATTTGTTATTAAATTAGAACTAACCGATGAGCACATATGTGTACACAGGGAAGTAAAACTCAGGGGAAATCAAGCAGCAGGGGAGGCAGAAAGAGGGGATAAGAAAGAGGGGATGGCTGAAAACCTACCTAACAGGTATAATGAACACTATCTAGGTGATGGATACACTTATACTCCTGACTCAAGCATTATAAAAGCAATCCACATAGCCAAAAACATTTGTAACCCCATAATATTTAGAAATAAAAAATTTGAAAAGTCAAATGATAAGGTTATGGATAAATTTATATTATAAAACTCTGAAGCCTCAAACTAAATCATCAAGGTATGTCAATAAGACATACAAACTAAATAAGAC